AATGGGTTATTTAATGGGAATTCCAAAACTTTGGATTAATTCATTTTCTTTTACGCCTCCCTGCAACAAATCTGGGGTCATGGGTTATTTAATGAATATAGAGGTCCTAGTGCAGCTTTGGTTCGTTTACGGCATATCAGCCTCAATGGGTGGACAATATTTTTAGGATAGGTTCGTATGAATGAATATGCATTTTTGGATTAGACAAATTCAATGGGTTATTTAATGCCGACAAGCTTCCCAGGTATTTTTTTTTCCTGGTAATACTTTCAAAAAAACCTGTCAAAAAAAATGTTTTGTGATATTAAAACCTATTTTTATTGTATCACTGTGAGTGAACGAGTAAATATCCGGTTTAGAATCTGTTCTCTATTGTTTTTTGCTTTTACGAGATGAAATTTTACCCTGTACAAGGCCAAGAGCCACTCAAGGGAGAGGTTTGGTTTAGTTTGGCTCGGTTTGTTTTATTAACGGTATATCAACCTCAATGGGTTATTTAATGCCAACAAGATTTTTAGAATAGGTTCGTATGAATAGAATATGTATTCTTTGGATAAATTCATTTTCTTTTACGGCATATCAACCTCAATGGGTTATTTAATGCCAACAAGATTTTTAGAATAGGTTCGTATGAATAGAATATGTATTCTTTGGATTAATTCATTTTCTTTTATGGCATATCAACCTATATGCCTCATTCAGTCAACTCATCGGCCTTTGATCTAATCGACTCGCCCTTTTTCAAGCATTTCCACAACCTCTTACATAGAATAATTTGCAACAGCCACACGAATTTATTTCGAAGAATTCATCACCTCCAGAACTACGACGTTACCGTAATGCATATTATCTTGCATGTTGTTGGTAAAAATGTATAAATCCGACTGATTTTTGTATCCCCCCAAGGAAGACGATAATGCCAACAAGATGCAAGGAGTTACTGAAAGTGAATACATTGAAAAGTTTTTAGAAGAAATCGGAAACCCAATCCTAAACAGAGAACAAATGATCATCTACTTCTCTTCAAAAATTAGGGGAGGAGCGTGAACCGGGCGTTTGATGAACCTATCGCCTTATGTTGAATAAAAAAGTAGATAAATAGGTAAATAAAAATGTTGATTTCAGGCGGAGATGTTAGAAGTATAGAGTTGAAGTAGATGTTAGAAGGAACCAGAAACACGATCCACAGTAGGAAGCAAGGGATAAACCCTCTACTCCTGTTCAAAAGAGGAGTGTGAATTTGACGATAGGCAAACCTATCTACTCCTATTTAGAAAAAGGAAATAAAAAAAGTAAATGAATAGTAAATAGAATTTCTGAGTTTAAGCGGAGACGTTCGAAATATAAATCTAAAGCAGACATTAGAAGGAACCGGAAACTCAAACATCAACAGGAAACAAGGGATAAACCTCTAACCCTTTTGCATATATCGGGGTGGAGTGTGAACCGGACGATTGGTGAGGCTATCTAATCATACTGGGGAAATGGAATAAAAAAGTAAATAAATAGTAAATAAAATTTCAGGGTTTTATGCGGACACTTGATAAGTAAGGATTTGAAATAGACATTAGAAGAAACCGGAAACCTAATCCTAAACAAGAAACAATGGATAAACCTCTACTCCGGTTCAAAAGACCGGGGAGGTTTATGAACCGGGGGATAGGCAAATCGACCAACTCCTATTGAGGAGAAATAAATTAATATATAAATGACATTTCAGAGTTCAGTCGGAGACTTAGAAGTATAGAGTTCAAATAGACTTGAGAAGAAACCGGAAACCTAGTTCTAAACAGGAATAAAGGGAAAAAATCTACTCCCGTTCGGAAAAGCGGGGAGGAGTATGAACCGGGCGATAGGCGAACCAATCCACTCTTATTGAGGAACAATAAAATAATTTGTAAATGGCATTTCAAAGTTCAGTCGGAGACTTAGAAGTATAGAGTTGAAATAGTCTTGAGAAGAAACCGGAAACCATATTCTAAACAGGAAACAAGGGATAAACATCTACTCCCGTTCGAAAGACCGGGGAGGAGTATGAACTGGGCGATAGGCGAACCAATCAACTCCTATTGACGAACAATAAAATAATTTGCAAATGACATTTCAAAGTTCAGTCGGAGACTTAGAAGTATAGAGTTGAAATAGTCTTTAGAAGAAACCGGAAACCTTATTCTAAACAGGAAACAAAGGATAAACCTCTACTCCTGTTCAATAGAGCGGAGATGTTTATGAACCCGACAACAGTCAACTAATGTACTTGACTAATAAAATTTATTCTGAACTGTGATATGTCGTTTTAAAATTAATGCATAAAAAAACACCTGCATTAATTACGTACCACCCGATAATTGTTCATTGTTTTTTTGTCTGTTTCCTGTTAACATTTGAATGCTTAATTCAATGTTAGTTTTCTCTTTTATTGATTGTGTTCAAACTGCTTTCAGTCAACAGATTTTCTTCCTTGTTCGCCTGTTTCTCTTTTGATGATTTTCACTGATATTTTTCGACCTTTTGCTGCGCAACAATCGGCGAACAACTCACACCTTTTTACGATGAGGGCACCTGCGATAACTTTCCCAATTTTTTTTTCCCCTGTGAGGATTCCTTATTCTCACTCTCTTTAATTTCTGCTAGTTACTAAGCTTAGATTATTACCACATGATGCGAAATGGAGAGAGAAAAAATAGGGAGGAAGAGTGCGTGCGCCAAATCTTTTTTCAAAGTGGAGTAGATCTGACTGCCGACAAAATTACCATTCTAATTCCTAAATTCTTCTGTTACGTGTCATGTCCTTTCAATGCGCAAGCGCTCACTGCTCTCCACGGCTTCGCGAAAAATATAAAAGCAAGACAGAAAAACGGTTTTCGACAAGAAGCGAAACGGTTATCGACGCGAGAAGTGGATCCACGGGGCCGAGTTCAAATTCCTGCTTAGTCTGAAGCATTCACTTTTGTAATGATGCTCTTAAAGATATGAAGCTAACTCTTCCTCCACCCGTGACTATGGCATAAATAGGAAATTAGATTAGTCTAAGAAGCCTTGGTTGGCAGCCAGTTTGGGTAAAAGGTTTGTCTAGAAAAAAAAAACACGTAGAGAAGGCAACAAACGACTTTACTCTTTTCCCCCCAAAAGACAGGTAGTGTTCACAAATAATAAAGAAAAGGAATCTGTGGAGAGCAATGGTCGTTAGAAACCTTCCCGGTCATGGTATTAAATGTTGAGAATATGAAACTAATCAATTATAGTTTAAATAACAGGGTAGACTGGGATTTGTAGCATTGAATTGTAATCTATCAACGCGTAGGATTTCTTCTATCTGCTGTGTTTCTTCAGGGCGTGAGTCATTATGGCAAGGAAAGGATAAAATTTCTAGTTCATGTAACTTTTATTCAAATAAACATTTTATTTGAAAATCGGATAAATCCAATAAAATTTAAAGAGGATAGGGACTGAGCGATTGTATGGGTTTTTAGCCCACAACCTACTTAAAAAAACATAATGCTCATCTACCGACATCAGGAATATTAAGTAAAAAAAATAGGCCGGGTGATGGCCATGTCTCGTTGAAACACCTGAAACTCTGGGAAGGCATCTATCACTCTCCTAACGATTAGGATTTCAGTATCGCACTTTCTGTCTTCCCAGATATTTAAATTTTTGTACTTGTTTGATTTTGCCATCTCCATTTTGTAATTTGCATGTTGGGTTGTCCCTTTTGCTAACTACCATGCATTCTGTCTTCTTGCAATTGATGGTTAGTAATAGATGGTATATGAAAGAATTCCAAGATGTTTTCTGCGAAAATGGCAATTAATCTGGCTAAGGAATTAACGGAATAACAAACTGTTTTAACCGAATTATCAAAAACAACAGTAGAAACCGGAATTGCTTTAACAAGTTTATTATCTTTTGGTACAGGGAAACATAATGTAGAATAGAAACTAGGGAATATAATGTTTAACTGTGAATGACTAACTGCTTTTAGGAAAGGCTACTGCTGCTACTGCTACTCCTCTTGATGTAGGAGTATTTTTGTCATTCATCCGACGGCCGAGTCCAAACTTGTAGGGAAATATTCTCCCTCACGACAAAAACGAATCAGTGTTTTATATTATCAGATGGTTAGTATTAACATGTTTTTGGAGACGCCTGGATTTTTCAGCCGATGTGGTCACCGACCTTCATGAGGTATTTGTGATCCGGTCGTACACGGAAACAAAAGCCGAGTGGATTAAATTGTTTGTTCGTGAATTGGATTAAATATTAATTATCAAGTTCAATCTCACGGATCCGCAGGATGTTGTAGATTCAATGGAAAGAATTTTTCTCTCAGGACAGTAATGAGGCAACGGGTTAAGCGATGCCATTTGGCGGTAAACTACAATTAATAATCTACACTTGAGAGCATAGGTAAAGAGAAAGTCTTCAAGATGTTTTAGCATAAAACTTATTTTACGAAATTATAACTCTCTTGAAACAGAATAGATATTAAATGAGGTTACGTGGAAAGACATGTTTCCGTACGATCACCGAAGTTAAGCAACGTCAAACATGGTCAGTACTTAGATGGGTGACCACTTAGGCGTTGTAAGCTTGGATGTATGGCAGCTATGGCTCATATCTATATCACGTTCAAACAATGGTTTCCGTACGATCACCGAAGTTAAGCAACGTCAAAGCTGGTCAGTACTTAGATAGGTGACCACTTGGGTGTTGTAAGATTGGACGTGTGACAACTATGGCTTATATCTACATCACGTTGAAACACTGATTTCCGTACGATCGCCCAAGTTAAGCAACGTCAAACCTGGTCAGTATTTAGATGGGTGTCCACTTGAGTGTTGTAAGTTTGGACGTGTGACAGGTATTGCTTATATCTACATCAATTTGAAACACTGGTTTCCGTAAGATCACCGAAGTTAAGCAATCTCAAACCTGGTCATTACTTAAGTGACCACTTAGGCGTTGTAAGCTTGGATTTATGGCAGCTATGGCTTATACCCATATCACGTTGAAACACTGGTTTCCATACGATCACCGAAGTTAAGCAACGTCAAACCTAGTCAGTACCTAGATGGGTGACCGCTTGAGAATACTAGGTGCTTTAAACTTGGATGTGCAGGTGGTGTTTCTTTTACGACTCCAAATACGATATGCTTTTTTTATATTAATTAACTAGACCTAGAGGTCATTTTCTAACCTTGAAAATATACTTGCTACGAAAACTACCGGAGCAAAGTGTTAGAAATGCCGATTCTCTCCCTTTCATTGAGATAGTTACGAGGATCACGTGACGGCCGGTGAATGACGTCAGAAGGGTGATTGATGAGAATAGTTGTCATATAGAGCCCAGAGACGAAGGACGTCCTTATGCCACAGCGGGAGACCTTACAGGCAAAAAAGCACATGGCCTAAGCCGTATAATAAGTGCATAGGTACAGAGTACAGTTGCAAACACTAGGAAGTTTCAGGCTGTAGAGAAGCCTGTCCGTCATACAACGAGTATGAAGTGGTGGGTGTCTTTGCATTCAAGGCAATAAAGCACGGTTCAATGGGGTTTAATCTCAATGAGGTCACAGTTTAAGCCATGCCATTCGCAGCAAACTATACTTCAACCTGCTTCAAAAACGATACCTCGCGATAACATGGATATAAGTTGGCTTACGGTCACATCACGTTCAAACACGATCCTCGTATGATCACCGAAGCTAAGTAATATCGAGACTGGTCCCTACCCAGGTGGATGACGGCTTGGGAATACCAGGAGCTTCAAGCTTGGATGTGCGGGTGGTGTAATCGTTAATGTCTCGGAATTGTTAATCGAAAGGTGAGTTCAAATTTCATTTGTGTTCGTTATATTCACTTATGCGCAAATACCTCTGAGAAAGGCATGAACCCAACTCTTCTCCCTTGGCTATGGGTTAATTACTAAAACTAAAATTACTAAGAATTTTAATTACTAAAATCATTATCATCATCTCCAAATAATCTGTTTACACCCGTTCCCGTACGATCAGCGAAGTTAAGCAACGTTGGGACTGGTTACTACCTAGATGGGTTACCGCTTGGGAATACCAGGTGCTGTAAGCTTCGATGTGCGGGTGGTGAAAATGGATAATGACACAGGATTGTTAATCTGAGAGGCGAGTTCCAATTTTAGTTGGGTTCGTTACAATCACAATTGGGAAAGGTATGAATCCACCTCTTCTCCCCTAGTAATGGGTTAATTAGTAAGACATGTATCACTAAACCATTATTATCTCAAAACATTTTCTGGCCTTAAATAACCT